ATAAGCTCACTGCTGCCTCAAATCAAACAAATGAGGGGAAAAAGTCCATACATCGGTGGTCTGATTGGTGGGGCAACCAATGGCAGAGAAGTGACACAATGATCACAAGCAGCAATGGTGTCCACAGAGGACAGATTTAGTAATGGTTCTCCCAGATGTTGAGTCGGCTGAGAAAGTAATAATAAATGGCATGATGTTAGCATCCAGCATTAACTGCAAGTATCCTGTGTACCAGGCACTGGGCTGAGGGAGTCCCTGCTGAAGCGGAACAAGCCCCTGGTGAAGCTCTTTCGTAAGTGCCATCAACAGCGAATTTTACACATGAGGAATAGAGACTCAGAGAGATGAGATGACGTATGTCAGCTCGGAAGTGGCAGGGTCAAAATTCAACACTGGGTCTCGATGACTCCAGAGTCCAAAGCTCTGAGTCACTCTGCTTTAAACTGCCGTGAGCGTGGCGACCCTCTGCTGTAAACAGTTCTAGCTGGTGGAAACACATGGTGCCCATGGAGCCTGAAACTGAATGATAAGATGTAATCCCCTTCATTGACTGTTGGGCTCTTTTCAAATCTTTACATTTCCAAGTTGTTTTTTTTTTCCTATCACAGGGCAGGAAAAGTATCCAAGAGAAGGATAATGAGCTTATGTCTGCCAAACTGAAAGTACCTATTCAAGAGAGAACCCAGAGCGATTCCATCTCCCTGCCTAGAGGAACACTCCGGCGGTTAAGCCTTCCAAAAATTTCTGCTTCGTTTTCAGCTGTTTAAAAAAATAAAGATAAAATGGGAGAACTCTTGTTTCCTGGTGTTGGAAAGCCAAGAGTCTATGATTTTTGTCTTTGCTTTTCAGTGGAACTGAGACCTCCCAAGGTGCTAAAAGTTCTCTGGGGTGTCAGGAAAACACCTGGGTCATCCTTAACAAATATGACTGCCCTTGGAGATGTGACATTCAGATTTATTGATTCCACACCCAGACAGTGCAGGCCCTCCACTCTCCAACATGCAAGAGTCACAGGGCAGGAGAACAAGCCCCAGACTGTCACAATACCCCCAGGCGAGCTTTGATGGTTTTAATAAGCTTGTCCATTCCCCACTCAAGAGGTGGCCATTATTGCTCAAACCTCTTCGAGTCAGCTTGAAATTCACCTTGGCAAGGATCCTGCCCTTCTTGGATGCTTCCCCCTGGCTTTTCAAATTCTGTGAAAGGAATTGAGACCGAGTGGAAAACGCCTGCCTGTCTAGAGTCTGTATGAAATCTCCCACAGAGCTGCCCTGGCTCTGGGCTCATTGGGCTGTTTTGATTCTACGACAGTATCAGGAAAAACTAAGGATGACTCTTTACACCGGTCTCCGGGCCCCCGTCTCTGAGTTTGGAGGTCTGTGAAAATCAGAGAACATACCGAGGCCCAGAATATTATATTCTTGCATGGGTACATGGGGTGTGCTTTTGACCCCAGGTCCCACTGAAATAAAATGCTGCTATTCACATGATACACTGACAAACAGCAAAACTAAATAGATGCAGAAGGTTACAGACCCCCTCGCTCTGCACTCCGCCCTGTCTACGGGGCAAACTTGTGTTCATCTTTAAACCGGCTCCATCCTGAAGCCACCCCTCCCTCGGGAGGTCTTCCCTGAGCCTGATTTGGGCCAGCACCATGCCCCCTCCTCTGTGCTCCTCGGCAACACCACCACATCGACACTGGTCATTACAGCCTGGGGAATGACGAACCGGTGACCCCCCCAAGAACCAAGCCTGGGGTGGGGGGTGGGCCCTGTGGTGTAGAAAAGTGCTCTTCAAAGTATGGTTCAGGAACTCAGCACTGCCAGCCTACAGAAGTCAACATCAGCATTTAGGAAACTGCAGTTACCTGACAGGTGCTGGGACCTTTTACCAAAGGACCAGAGCATGACAGAAGGAGATGAATAAATAAAACTACTTCTATTTTAAATCAGTGTTTGGGATGCACTGGGATAAGAGACACACTAGAACAGAGGAGGGCAGGGAAGAAACAAAAGGTAAGTAGGAAGGAGGGAATTAAAAATAGACAGTCACTGTATGATTAAGTGTTTCCACACGTGTTACATCACCGGGCCCTGACCTCACGGACCCAAGGCCTTCTTCTGCAAACACTCCCGCACATGCCCTCTTTCCTCTGTTCTCTCTTCCCCTGCATGCACAGCCCTCCATGCGCTTCTTCCCCTATTATGACTGCGGTTTATATGTGATTCCCTCAGGGGGCCTTCCTAGCCACGCAATCTAGAATGTTCTCCTCTCTGACCCTAGGCCATCCCCTCTCTCCATGGCCATGGTTTGGCTATTTTTTTTCCCTCTGTGGAACTTCAACAATCCAAACTTTTTCATGTATTGGTGTATTGCTTATGGTCAGTTTCCCCACTAGAAAGTAAGTTCCTTAAGAACAGGAATGATTGGGCCAGCACCATGCCCCCTCCTCTGTGCTCCTCGGCAACACCACCACATCGACACTGGTCATTACAGCCTGGGGAATGACGAACCGGTGACCCCCCCAAGAACCAAGCCTGGGGTGGGGGGTGGGCCCTGTGGTGTAGAAAAGTGCTCTTCAAAGTATGGTTCAGGAACTCAGCACTGCCAGCCTACAGAAGTCAACATCAGCATTTAGGAAACTGCAGTTACCTGACAGGTGCTGGGACCTTTTACCAAAGGACCAGAGCATGACAGAAGGAGATGAATAAATAAAACTACTTCTATTTTAAATCAGTGTTTGGGATGCACTGGGATAAGAGACACACTAGAACAGAGGAGGGCAGGGAAGAAACAAAAGGTAAGTAGGAAGGAGGGAATTAAAAATAGACAGTCACTGTATGATTAAGTGTTTCCACACGTGTTACATCACCGGGCCCTGACCTCACGGACCCAAGGCCTTCTTCTGCAAACACTCCCGCACATGCCCTCTTTCCTCTGTTCTCTCTTCCCCTGCATGCACAGCCCTCCATGCGCTTCTTCCCCTATTATGACTGCGGTTTATATGTGATTCTCTCAGGGGGCCTTCCTAGCCACCCAATCTAGAATGTTCTCCTCTCTGACCCCAGGCCATCCCCTCTCTCCATGGCCATGGTTTGGCTATTTTTTTTCCCTCTGTGGAACTTCAACAATCCAAACTTTTTCATGTATTGGTGTATTGCTTATGGTCAGTTTCCCCACTAGAAGGTAAGTTCCTTAAGAACAGGAATGTCGTGTTCACTCTGAGAACTCCCTAAGCTAGGATATTGCCGGCACAGGAACAAGTGAATGAATGAATGATTAAACTAGTGAATGAACACAGTAGGTGCTCCTGTTTCCACTTAAAATGCAAAGAAAATAAAGAGTTTTAGGACTTTTCCTAAAAGAAACTGAGGGTCTTGTCCAACGACGCACAGCTCCTCAGGAGACCCTGGTCTCCAAGCGAGCCTCCCGCCTCCAGATGCAGCTCTTTCCACCCTGCACCACCGCCGGGACGTTGCCAGTTCTGGGGGAAAACCTGCAGAGCCTTCACCGTCCAATAAGGACGCTGACACAGGTGGTGTGACACTATGCTCACCTTCTGAGGCTCACATGCGCATCCCTTCGGTATCAAACAGGAAGGAGCAGAGCCCGGGAGGGCCGACCTCCAGTGACATCTAACCCTGACAATGCTCTAAATCCCAGTTCTATTCCTGGAGAAGTAAAAGCAAAGACTTTGGGGTCAGGCATATCTGCGAGAAAATTCAAGACCTGAATTTTCATAAAAGTATGAAAGACGAAAGGTCCCTTTACAATACTGCCTGGAACATAGTAGTATAGTATATAGTATAACTATTTGGCGAATGAATAAAATGGGTATTTGTTTGCAACTATTAAAGCGGGAAAAGGTTTGTATCCTGAAATCTGGCTTGATATCTCAGAATTTCAATTCATGACATTAACCCTAATTCATAAGAATTCACTAAGAACTAAATCAAGTCTAAAATTTTTGCTCATCTTTTAGCTCCTCCTCAACTTAAAGAGCCCATAATTTAAGACCAACTGTGAGTGGAGACATGGTCCACTAGGTGTTAGATCAAAAGTTCCAAAAGTAACAACTCCACAGTCACCAAAGTGACTGCTTCCCCCAGGAGGGGAGCAGACAGATCTCGACAGAAGGCATGTTTGAGGCGGCCACCCTAAAAGCAATCCGGCCCTGATTTCAGAGCACAGTTCATTCAAATCAAAGCCACTCACCAAGCCTGGATTTTCAACAGCGCTCCACTGCTTTCTGTCAAGGAAATGATGCAGAAAATGCCACAAAGAACTCAGATAAGAGCATGAAGAGAGAGTTGGGCCAAAATTGAAGGGCCTGAGGGGTGTTCTTGCACTGTGGTTTGCGAAGCTCTGCATAACTTCATATTAGGCACTTAGCAGAGACACAGTTGTCTGTCACACGTCAGCCCTTGTTTGCGAAGCTGTCAGTCACCACCATGAACTACAAAGTCACAGCATGAACTGGCCAGGACCCGGGAGGATTTCCACAAAGTGAAAATCCAGATTTAAAAAACACCACTGAGCTCGAGGAACACTGGAATTCTTAACAATCCTTCATACCAGGGCTCCAAAGCCACGTCTGGGCCCCTCTCTCCCTGTCTCCCCTTAACCTCCCCCTCGCTGCCCCCCACGTCCCCCTCCTTCCTATCACCTTTCATCTCCTTCCCCCCAGTTCTGAGAGATGCCAGAGAAAAACAATACAGAACATAAACTTTTTGGTCTATTTATCTGACATCTGCCTTCCACAAAATTCACATACGTAGATTTGTTTTCTTTCCTTTTATGAGAAAATGGCTCACTGATGTGGATAGCTTAAACTTCTGAAAACGTTACTATCAGGTAAGACACAAAGTCGACGTAGATTTGACATCATCTGTCTGTCTCTCTCCTCAGTTTGTGTAATTCGACAAACACTTCCTAAGCACCCTCTCTCCTCTCCTCTGCCCACAGTTTAACTACAAACCACGTCCTCCCGCCCTCACCGCATCTCCACGCTGCTCACAGCCTTTCTCCAGCTCTTTGGTCTGCACTCTCTCCCACTGTGCACGCTACCAGATGCCATAATCCTCAGGGTTCTACCCAATCACCAACCTCCTCTCTCAGGAAGGCCCTCACCTCTTCCTTCTCAGAGAAAACAGGGCCATCAGGCAAAAATGACCTCAGCCGCCTACTCCCAAGCTCTCCGCCTGGGGTCCTGCTCCAGACGTGGCGGTGATGGTCGAACACTCCGGACTCCCCATCCTACCTTGAGATACCTGCCTGCACAGCAAGCCCCTTCTCTCCAGATCGTCACCCGATCCCTTTCTACCGGTTTCTTCCCCATCAGGATGTAAGGAGACCGCAAGTTATCCCACAGTGAAAGCAAACAGGCATACAGACCCCTTCTCCGTGGAATGACCCCATGTCACAGCTCAGCTTGCCGAAAGCAAAGTCCACACTCAGCGCCTAGACTCTCTCTTCCCAACAAGCTTAGGAGTTCTGGACTAAAGCACGCTGAGTCCAGCGGTCTCCCATCTGTGTGATCACGGGCATAGTAGTTAACCTCTCTCTCTGTTTCCTCAGCAAAAAGGAATTAACATTAGTTCTACTTATTAAGTTGTTGTTGATATAAAATACGGCAATACTGGTAGAGAGTTCAGGGCAGAGTACATTCTCAAAAATGTAGTTATTATTAAATATTAAATAGTTATTATTAAATCCCAAACTGGTATCAGTAATCTAGAGCCTTCTCCTAAGCTCCAGACTCAAAAATCCAACTGCTTTTAAGGTATCTCAACTAAGACAACTCTGAGACACTTCAAACGGTTCCCAGGGGACATAGCCATCGTCCACCCATCTTCCTGTGTGGACCACCACCCAGTTAACACGCCCATCAGCTCTAACTAGTGACAGCTGTTTTCCTCATGCCCCTTCTCATGGAGCTCCAATTCTGCCTCCTACACATGCCTCACTCCATCCGTGCATCTTCACTCCTACTGAGGCGCTGTCAGTGATGACACACACCACCGTCTCCTGTCAGTATCACTATCACAGATTTCCATCTGATACAGGCGTTGCATCTCCTCTTCTCTACACTATAGCCAAAGTGAATGTATACTATACATGATATATATCATCTGAGCTAGACTTTCAAAATATACACAAATACAAAGAATGATATTGTACAACGAACACCACATCCACACTACCCAGAATTAGCTATAATATTTTTATAATTAAAATCTTACCATATCACTAGTTCATAAAATGCTCAATGGCGTCTACTTATCCTTAGGATCCAGTTCACACTCAGTTGCAAGGTTGAAATGACTCTCCATGACTCCCAGCCTCTTCTCACCCACACCTCCCCGGTTACTGATCTGAAACCCAGACCACAGAAAACTATTTTTGGTTGCTCCAAAATATCAAACTCCTCCTGCCCTCCAGGTCTTTCCACCTTTGAGGAAGAAGGGATGAAAAGGATGACAAACTGCTTGAGGGTGGGACAGAAGCAGAAACAAACATTGGGAGGTATTTGGCAGTCAGCCCAAGGAAGCGATATTCAGAGAAATAAATGGTAAAAGTGACAGCATCACAGAATCTTAAGAATTGCTTGGAAACTTAGTTAAATCCAGCCTCCCCTGCCGTACCCATCATGCCTTCAAAGAACCTCTATTGGAAAGGCAATAAAGTACATATACTTTGCTTTGCATCTTATGGCTTTTTAATGAACTTAACAGAGAGTATATAATACACGGAGACATATGTGTACAATTCTCCAAGGCTCCTGGAAGGCAGACATCTTTCCCTGACATCCCTCCAAGAGGGCAGAGGTGATCTTTGAATGAAAAATGAAAGAAGGTCAGTAACTTCTATTAGGCAGTTCTTTTCATGAAGAGAGAGGAAACGTCCAAAGGTTCTGGGCAATTCCTTTGTTTTATGGAGATAGTTAAAAGGAAACCAGGAAGGAAGAGAAATCTTTCCACTTCTATGACAGGCCTTGAAATATTCTTACTTTAAGGAAACACTGGTATTTCTTGTCCTCCCTAGTTACAGTAAATGATGCCTGGAAAATGGCACAGCCATTGTAAACTGAAATTCTTTTTTTAGTCTGCCCTGAAGTCGGTCTTTAAACACATCTACATCATTAAATGCCTGATGCCATTTGACTTGGTAAAAAAATTAGTAAAATACTAATACATGCAACCACACTATCAGAATTATTTATGAAACGAGCAGCCAGTGGGGAGGAAAATGAATTGTACAAATAAGCTGCCTAAATCCTCAGGGTTGCGATGGAAATTGCTCTGATTTCTGTGGATGACTGAAGACGGTAGCCTTGCTGTTATTTTTTTCATAATTCAACAGTTGTTAACTGATCACACTGCTTCTACAATGACTTCTGTAAAATGTCAGAAGAAAACCAAAGGGACTCATTGCTAAATTTTAAAAAAAAATAATTACGAAAGGGAAAGGAAAGAAAATCTGTGTGTGATCTGTGTATAAGTTACTTGGGAATTGATTTTACATACAAGAAACTAACCTCACCTGTCCATAAAGAAAATTTATTCTGGAACATAACTGACTTTCCAGTAAAGTAAAAATATTTTCAAAGCGTTGCCATTGCAACTGTAAAAGGTACACTGCCTTTTGGAACAAGTAGTTTGGAAAAATTAAACTTGTGTCAAGATGGATACTTTAATTTGTAATGGGAAGTTAACCTGTAACAAGAGCTCTAAACTATCTTTTAATGTATTATTTAGAACTTTATATCATTATGCATACACCCTCAAAATTGTCAATCTTCCAAGCACAGTTTTGAGCTGATGTGCGGTAACACCTAAGTGATGCTTTGAACTACAAGGTAGACTCAAGAGAAAGCTAATGAAAATGCAGATGACACAGGAAAAGTTTTTGGAAAATTCAAAAGCGCCATGACACATGGACCAGGCAGTGAGCGCTCGTGTGTGAGCATCACACGCGCACACACGTGAAGCCACACAGGCATGTACACCGAGGACTGCACCAGAGGCACAGTCAGGGAGCCACACGGACTCAGGCCAGTCTCTAGAAGCATCACCTGCCAGAAGGGACCAGCCAGTCCCTGAGAGCTAGTCACGGCCATCTACGCAGCAGCCACTGTTTATTCCCTGCTGACTGTGTGCCGGGTGTCATAGCTGGTCCTTCATAATCATGATCTCATTTTATTCTTCCAACAACCACATTTAGTTAAGCTGCAATACCATTTTACAGATAAGAAAACAGAGGTATGTTTTATCACCAGACGACCACCTTGAAAAAGGCAGCAAAGTCATTTATATCCGCATCACACTTGTTTCTTAAGGGCAAGCTTCCCAATGTCAGTAGGAATCAAATTTGGGTTTATATTAGATCCTATTCCAAGGAATTTATGATCGAAACATAGAAAATAATTTTTTATTTAATTATATTCTTTCTTTTGCAATAGTATATTTTACTTTAAAAGCTAAGGATATGTAAAGCAACTCTACACCAATAAAAATTAATTAAAAAGCTAAAGATAAATAATGCCTAATATTCTGAGAAAAGTTTATTTTAATAGAATACACAGAGCAAGTACTGAAGAAATATCAATGCTTCCATACAACTAGCCCCCCTCTCTCTCAGCTTCATTNTGAGTTTGAGTAAGCTTCGGGAGTTGCTGATGGACAGGGAAGCCTGGTGTGCTGCAGTCCATGGGGTTGCAAAGAGTCAGACACGACTGAGTGACTGAACTGAGTTACTGAGTATTACCCTAGTACCCACTAAGTGCCAGATATAGGAAATATAACATCAAGCTGGAAGACACTGTCCTTGACTCTCACAGAACTTCCAATACCATCGTACTCTTGAGGAAACAGATGATTGAACAAGTAATTTTGATACAGCGTTACAAGTGTTAAAAGAAGGAGAGAATGGAGATCATAGGAGCATCTACAAAGGTAAAGAAGGATTCTGAGAGGAAAATGACATCCGTGCTGAGACTTAGAGGCTGAGGCAGAGTTGGCCATGGGAAGATAAAGCTTATGTCAGGTCTGCAGTTTGAGAACACTGTATGTTCAAGTCACTTAAAAGAAGCACCATGACGTGGTGTGAGCACAGAGGTGGGATGGCGGGGAGGAAGACAGTGCAAGCGGTTAGAGAAAGAGGTGGGCAAGGACGACAAAAAAAAGTCCTGAAACCAATCATAATAGCTTCATGTGCCATTTTAAGAAGGTTGGGTTCAATCCAAAGGGTGATGGGGCAGCTCTGAAGGACTTTTGTCAGTAGCTACTGTTTTAACTCCACTCCTGTCTCTGGGACAGGGTAGAGCTCCACCCACTCTCCTATGGCAAAAACCTCCCAGAACTTAGCCTCACCACATGATAAATTACTTAGCTTCTCTTCTGCAGTGGGCTTTAGTGACTGCAGAAAAAGAAACTCCTGAGGTCTAGGACTTCCCCATCCAGTCAGCTGCTCAGCCCACCCCACTCGTTCACTGTTACAAGGCTCCCTGTCTCCAGGCTCAAAGAGCAGAGGCCCTCCTGTTCCAGGATCACACCTACAGCATGAACCCACCTAACTCACTTGCCTCCTATGATGCACTTGTCTCCTACACCTACCATCCACCTTACCTTTAGCTACTTTTCTCCTGAAGCTAGAACTTTTATGTGACTTGAAGCCATTAAATGGAATTCTTCCTTAGCAGCTGTCACTGGTGGTGGTGGTTTAGTTGCTAAGTTGTGCCCGACTCTCGCAACCCCATGAACTGGGGCTTGCCAGGTCCCTCTGTCCATGGGAGTCTACAGACAAGAATACTGGATTGGTTTGCCATTTCCTCCTCCAGGGGGTCTTCACAACCCAGGAATCAAACCCAGGTCTCCTGTATTCCAGGCAGATACTTTACCAACTGAGCTGTGAGGGAAGCTCCTCTGTCCATGGAATTCTCCAGGCAAGAATACTGGAGTGGGTAGCTGTGTCCTTCTCCAGGCGATCTTCCCAACCCAGGGACCGAACCCAGATAGCCACCACTATCACTGATGTTGGGTTAAA